GCGGCTTTTGTAATTGTGTTGCGGCTTTTGTATTTATGTTGTGGCTATTGTTTTTGTCACCAGACATTGAGAGAGGCATTCAGGACCCCAGTCAGCCAGATCCTTATCAACTCAGGTTGTTGGTTTACGGCGTTGACTCAGCGGATGATGGGAAGACTCACTGTACGGATGTATGTGTGAGTAAGAAGCTTTTACGCCCACACGTAGGGCCTCGGTAACATAGGGATGAACAATCATGCAGAGTCTGAACCAACGGGGATATTCAACTGCAGCAGCCACTGTTCAACCCTTAGAGAGCAGAAAGACGACTATTTCAACACAAATGTTGCAGAATGAAAAAACTTGACATGACAATGTCAAGAGTTGCAGAGCAACAGTTAATTAGCTTAGTAAATATTTTTTATATCCAAAATAAGTTGGTTTTGGGCTGTGTTACACTTTAAATGGACTTTTGTGCTCAAGGAGAAGTGGGCTCCTGCATGCTCTTGCACACGTATTTTTGTTTTTTAAAGTGGAGAGGGCGGGTCCATGAAAATCCTCCACAATACCTTTAACAAGAGTGAAATCTGAGGGCGTAGTGGTTAGAGCGCACGACCCATGTACGGAGGTCTTAGTCCTGGACGCGGCTGACTCGGGTTCGAATCTGACCTGTGGTCCTTTGCCACATGTCTCTCCCCTTCTCTCATACCCCCTTTCCTGTCAGCCTACTGTCAGAAAAACAGGCCACTAGTGCCGTAAAAACTATAAAAAAAAAAAAGGGGGAAAAAAAAAAGAGTGAAAAACATAATTTCTCCCTTCAGCTGGCACACAGCTCCATGTATTACAGTAGTAATACACAACAGTTACAGTGAAGTCCTGCGATAATAGACTCCGGACAAGCAAGCCTACAAAGTCATGAAAATGAACCCTAGTAGGGAAACATCTACATGCTTGTGGTTAGTGCAGAGGAAAAATCAGAATAAAATCACAACTGTGGTTATAAAAAATAAAAAGGTTTCAACTAAATCGAAAAAAATGAGATAGTTTAAGTTATTAGCTTTCCATACAGGAAATGAAAAGATAAAGGGAAGCAACAGCTTTAAACTATATATTTAACAATTTATTTTTGCCCTGGTTAAATCATGTAAAATAACATCAAACTATAATTATATAGACCGACTCTGCAACCTTCTCCAGAACCACATGTGGCTCTTTGGACTTCTACAATGGCTACTATCTTTTGCACAAGAATTTATCATTTTTACACTTTTTCCATTCTTCATGGAATAATTGGATTGATTTTCCACAAGAGAATCACTTTAAAATTAGCAGTCATACTTTTGATACATTTCTCTTCATTTGATTGCAAACTTTATTATTTTCCACAAATATAAACATCCCACAGCAACAAATTTATCCGTTCAATTTTTGCAGGTTTTTATTTTTTTTTAACCTAAACCAATAAAAATTATTTTGTTCATCAAGAAATAAAAACATATTAGATATTTAAAAATATATTTATTAGTTAAGCTTTTTCCTAAGGGTCAGTAGCTCTACACTAATACTATTCAGCTGAAATGGCTGTAAGGAAAAATAAGGCTGCAGACCACGGGGTTAGAGCTTTGGGGTGTTATTTTTAAAAACAGGATTAATATTCTTTTCGGAATCAAATTAGGAGATGTTAGTGACAGCCCTGGACTAAATCAACTTTATACTAACACTAAAGAGAGAAAAAACACACGACGGCAGGTCATACAAGAGAAACCATACAGGATCTTAAAACAAAAAAGACAAAAAAAAACCTTGAAAGTTCTCGCTGAGCCTGATGATTCACTGTTAAACATGGAAAGCCTTTTCATCGCCGTCACGCCTCATAGAGTAAAAAAAACAGTGAAATTGAACAACTTGCAAGTATTTCCCCACTTGGATTTAAACTCTGACAGCAGCCAAAGAAACAACTGGTTTAAGTGTTGAATTTAATCGGTACATAATTTCAAAATTTTATTTTTCTCTGTATTAAAAAAAAAAAGCAATTAACCAGTGAAAACAGTTGCTGGCACATTTAGAAAAAAATACTTAATGAGCTCCAAGTATTATAATTCTTTTCTGTTTTTCTCTCATGTTGCACAGAATAAACAGAGAAGGCTGTTGAGAAAAAAAATGAATCGAGAAAGAAATAATTTTGACATTTAATTTCAGCTTTAACCAACCTGAGTTATTGATGCATGATAATATTAGACGTTCTTTCTTGGAAATGCTGACAATCTTGCATCATTAGCAAAGGTGTAAATGTTTGACAGACGGCATCAGCTGATAAATGTATAAAGATTAAGTGCAAAAGCTTTTAAATTAGCAGTCTTACTGCAAAACTTATCAGGATTCTGTTTCAATAAAACTACAAAGTTCAAAGT